GCTGGAGCGATAGCACAGCGGTAGGGCGTTTGCCTTGTACGCGGCCAACCAGGGTCCGATCCCCAGCATTCTATACGGTCCCCTGAGCACCGCCAGGAGTAATTCCTGAGTGCATGAGCCAGGAGTGACCCCTGTGTATCGCGGGGTGTGACTCAAAAAAAAAAAAAAAAAAAGAAACCCAATGTGTGCATTCCTCCAGAGAACTTGCCCATAAGGCAAAATGTTGCTCAGCCTACAAATTCTTTTGGGCAAGCTGATATATATATATATATATATATATATATATATATATATTTTTTTTTTTTTTTAATTAATCGGTAAAGCGGGGAGGGAGGCTTTCCAGCCCAGGCTCTTACACAATCTGCCAGCTCTAAGGTCTGGACAGGAGGCACTAGAGAGCAAATCTCAGGCCATGTGCCACTGATCTCCACTGAGCATGTGCCACCTACGCAAGGCTGCAGCGGACCATCCCCTTCAGCATGCGCAGATCAACTGGCCAGTGGCAGCTCTGGGGCATCTCCTAGCAATGGAGCAGAACTGCCTGATTGGACAAGTGTTTCCCAGTCACTTATTGGAGAGCTGCAAACCCTTAATCAGGCTTGCTAGGGGAGTCAGCCCACCTTCCCGGGTAGCCTATCCTGTGCTGCAGACACAAACCCACCCACGCCCCCACCTCCTTCTTTTTAATTTTTTTTTGAGGAGGGGCCACATCCAGCAGTGCTCAGGGCTTACTTTTGGCTGTGTGCTCAGGGGTCACCCCTGGCAGTGCTCAGGGGACCAGAGATGAAGTGAATCTTTGGCAGTGTGCAAGAGGAACGCCTTAACTCTTGTTCAGTCTTTCCAGCTCAGGAGTCCCCTTTTTTCAGTCTTCCATAAGGTTAAATTGTCCTTTCCTAGGTGTCCTCCCTTGGCCCCTTGGAAATGTCTATTTCCTTCCCACCCCGGCCAGCAAAGAGCGCTAACGCAGCTCCCCCACTTCCGCAGACAACACTGTGGAGTTTCCCACATTTGGGGAATGGTAGGGGCAGCCCCTTGGGGCTCAGTGGCTGAGCCTCACCGTGGGGAAAGCAGCTACTCCGTTGATCTTAGCAGTTCCCTTGCCATGTGGCTGTGAAAGTTTCTTTCTTGAGAGCCCAGTGCTTATAGGTGTTTGTCACAGGATGTTGTGCAACAAAGGCAGCGGGAGAGACAATGGACACAGATGGCCAAGTAGCAGGACTGAGAGCTTCCAGGTGGGTGCCCCTTCTCTATGCTCCACCCCTTTCCCCCCCCCCCCCCAACTTGCACACTGCCACGAGACTCTGCCATCATCGGGACTTAGAGCTTGCTATGATACGCGTATTGCTCAAGTTTACAGTTCCCAAACTTGCATCGTGCTGGCATGTGGTGGATGCTCAGTGTGTCTTTAATACAACACATCACTGAAGGCATAGGATCGCTGGTAAAACAGGATGGAGGGCGGGGGCATGGAGTATCCATCAGTTTGGATTTTCATGTCATTCTTGCTCATTCCTTCTTGTTTTCCCTTCATTGTCTATCACATCACAGAGTAATTTGGTAGACAAGCCCTTGGGGGAAAGGGCCATGTAATCTAATAAGGTGGGAAAACACTCCAACGCTCCATTTCCTATCTCCCCTGTACAGAATGGAAATACTTATGAACATAACATGGAGCTTCCGAAAAGAAATTGTTTGATAAAGAAAAGAAACTTATCTGAGTTATTCCACATTTTCCTGACTAACCCTCCCCCAAGTCTTTTTTTTTGTGTGTGTGTGGGGGGGGGGTGGGGGATGAAGGGGGTGTTGAACCTTCTGGAAAATGCCACTTGAACCAGCAAGTGATGATGATGCAGGGAGCTGAGGGGGTACCCAGACTCAGACCACAGTGGGGCTCTGGAAATCAATGGGACCTGGGAAGCTTTGTCGCAGCGTAGACCAGGGGCTGAACTGATGGCGTTTGAGTGGGGACTAAGGAACTTACATTTCTAACAAGTGCCCAGGGGAACCGAGACTGCTGCTGAATTCTAAGGGCTCAGTTTAAGGACCTCAAGACTGGGGTATTCAAGGAGTCCTGTCCTCCCTTACAAACTTGGGACAAGGGTCATCATTTCTTTACATGACTACAGAAAGGTAAAGCTTGGGAAGCAAGTGAGAGCTGTAAATGCCAAGTGGAGCTGTCGCCTTTCAGATGAGGAGACTCTGTTATCAGAGGAGGAGACCCTCAGCACAGGCTGGGAAGACCCCTTGTTAGGTTTCTGGCATTGCAGATGGTCCCCTGCACACCACCAAGAGTAACTCCTGAGCACAATCTCTCCTGTTGGTGTTGAGTCACAGGCCCTAACACCTCTTGAGAAATCAAGCAGAAAAAATTCTCTTGTGCAGCTTAGTAGGAGGCTTAGGTGAGGGGTAGTTGGGAATGTCAGGATATGTGGCAGCATGTAGCTTGGAGACTTGACCCAGTCAGAGGATTAGGGAACTTGGCCTCATCAAATGAAAAGGAGGCCCTTGGGTTCAATATCCCTAGCTTGCTCTTGACCCCACCCTGTAGTATTTACATAGATCTTCTTGCCCTTTCCAGCAACCTGCCTTGCGCTGTTACTGTTTTCTTTCTTTCTTTCTTTTTTTTTTTTTTTTGGCTTTCTGGGTCGCACCCAGCCATGCACAGGGGTTACTCCTGGCTTTGCACTCAGGAATTACTCCCGGTGGTGCTCAGGGGACCATATGGGATGCTGGGAATCGAACCTGGGTCAGTTGCATGCAAGACAAATGCCCTGCTGGCTGTACTATTGCTCCAGCCCCAAGCCTTGTACTGTTTTAAAGAGCTGTGAGGGAGGGCTGGTAGAAGGAAGTGCCGTAGGACACTGCTCTGAAGACTGATGCTCCATAGCTGAACCTTGTTGCTAAGGGCAACATCCCTTTCCTGGAAGATCAAGGGTAGGTTTTAAGGATGATTAAAAAAATGAAAAATGGAGAAAAAGTACAGGGACTGAGGCATTTGCTTTGCATGTGGCAACCTCATTCAATTCTCGGCACCAAGCCCTGCCAGGAGTAAGTCCTGAGCACCGCCAGATGTGGCCCTTAAACAAAACCAAAACTAACAAAAATGCCAACCCCGTCCTTAGCCACTTCTTCCTTGTCTTCTGTAAGCTACTTGGCCTCACCATCGTCTTCTCGAGGTTTTTCGTGCATAGCCTAAGCCTCTGGACCAGCCCCTGCTTGCCGTTTAGGTAACGCCATTTAATAAAGCTAATGTGCTCCCTGAACATGTGATTGTTCTAGGTCAGCCCCCACCCCCCCACCAGCTTCCTGTCCCTTCACAGTGTCTCTGCTGATTTCTGTCTGGGAGTGTGACATTTCTCAGCCCCACCCATATATCCTTGATGAGGTCCCTTTGTTCCTTCTTCCCAGCCCAGTTCTTCTGTCTCCAAATTAGGGAAAATCTGCTAATTCTGCACTGTAGCACTGTCCTCCCATTGTTCATCTATTTGCTGGAGCAGGCACCAGGAACATCTCCATTGTGAGAATTATTGTTACTGCTTTTGGCATATTGAATACGCCACGCGGAGCTTGCCAGGTTCTGCCATGTAGGCGGGATACTCTTGGTAGCTTGCCGGGCTCTCCGAGAGGGACGGAGGAATCGAACCCGGGTTGGCCACATGCAAGGCAATGCCCTACCCACTGTGCTATGGCTCCAGACCTACACACTCAAAATTCCACACACCCCCGTTAGTTGCTACCACTTGCTAGTAAACTGCAACTGTATTTTTCTGTGATTTACATGACAGCAGGTCTTTGTGACCTTAGAGTGCCTGGCATCAAGTTGGTTTTAAGGAAATGTGTGTATGTGGAATTTTTTAAAGGGATAAGGACAAAATGGCATGTCATACTGGTGTGAATTTCCATGATCTTATGAAAAGCACACGACTTTGTGATCTTGAGGTGTCAGAATGTCTCCCTATCAAGTTCCATCTTTATCAACATGGAGTATTGGCCTTTTGCTTATTTGTATGGCTCTTGGCTCACTCAGGAGCCCGGCTCTTCACTGGCCACCCCAAAGGAAAAATGATTTTCTCAAATTATATATTTTTTCTATTGTTGTGGTGGTGGTTTAAGTGTCCAGTGACACTTCTGGTGGTGCTTGGGGGAACCATTGTGGGTGCTGGGATTGAACCCAGGTTCGCTACATGCAAGGCAAGCACTCTACCCACTGTGCTATCTCTTTGGCACCTGATTTTTTTTTTCAAATTATAAATCTGACCACACCTGCCCCAATCCGGTTGACTAGAAAACAGGGACAGTGGGGAGTGGAGACATAGCCCAGTGACTCAGACAGTTGGGTCCCAGGCACTGTATGGGTCCCAGAAGCACTGCAAGGTAAGGAAAAGAGAGAGAGACAGAGAGAGATAGAGACAGAGACAGAGACTAAGGAAGGAGGGGAAAAAAGGAGAAAGACGAGAAGGAAAGGGAAAGGGAAAAGAAATGAAAGTCGGAAAAGGGAAAAAGAAAGAAGGAAGCGGCGAAAAGGAGAAAGAAGAGGTAGGTGTTTTCAGTCTAACATTCCAAAATGCAGGAAACTTCCACGACACAGCGGCAGTGGCACAGAGCCATCCATCCTTACAGGACACTTTGCATCCGTGTGAAATACTGTCGCCTTACCCCAAGTCCTCGGAGGACTCTTCCAGGGCCGGGCACCGACTCAGGGGCGATCAGCCCGTGCAGGAACCCTTCGGAGCCCACAGAAGTGCAGAGAGAAGGTTATGAAACCCGGGGAGAGGGTGGGGCAGGGGACATTTGTACAGCTGGGCGCTGCTGATTCCTTTACCAAGCATTTCCCGAGTTTCCTATCTGCATGGGGCAGCCCGGCCCACCCCACTCCCTGCAGCGCTGGGAACTTTCCCTCCCCGCCCCCGCAATAACCCACCCCACCCCGACCCCGCCTCTTCTGGGACCAAGAGGTGGAAAGTCATCCCCAAAGGCAGCCATCCCCGAAACCTCAGTACCAAAGACGGTCCCGCAGTCCTGGCCTTGGGGCGACGAGTACTCCAGGCAGCTGGCTCTCTCCTCCAGGGCCGGGCAGGGCTCCCCGCCGTTCTGGGGCGCCTGCTGCACCTCGCGCCTGCGGACGCGGATCGAAGGCTTGCACCGGTCTGCGCAGCCGCTCCAGGGACTCCACTCTCCCACGACGCACGGGCGAGCTGCAAAAACAGCACCCAGGGCGCCCAGCCTGAGTCAGGCGGCCAGGGGCCACTCGCCTCCCCCGCCCTGATGGGCAAACTGATAACCCGTTGCAAGGGGTGGAGAGAGGATTTTCCAGGATCCTGGGCTTAGGTTCAGTTTGAGCCAGGAACAGGCGTTAGTCAGAGACCGTGCCTGCAGGGAACTTCCTCATACTCGCCGGCTGAGCTCAGGTCTTGTGCTTCCTTGATGTTAACTTGATCCTCCCCAGCCCAGACCAGGTACTCTGTCGCAGTCCGCCATGCCATCTGCATTGCAGACTTGGTGAAGGGGGAAAAGAATACTGCAGAGGGAATCGCCCCCACCCCAAATTCCATCACCTACCTGCGTTACCACATCCCAGCAAATGGGATCTAGGAGGGCACGGAGGGATCTGCTAGTTTAAGGCTTCTCTGGAATATTGTCTTCTTCTATACGGTGTCCACATTCATGAACTATTAGAACCGGAGCTAGAGGTGGGCCAGCCCGAGCCGACGGCAGTAGGGACTGCACCCGGGCACCAAAGTCAAGCCAAGATGCTGGCTCTGGGCCCATTTCCTGGACATCACTGTATAAAACTGGTGAGATTAATGGGTTTCACATTCCCGTTAAAGACCTAAGGAGGGCAGAGAGGTAGCTCAAAGAGCTGAGTTCATGCTTTGCATGCAGGTGACCTGGCTGTGATCCCTGTCACTGCACACCCCACCCAGGAGTTGACCCCCCCACCAAGTGCACCATTTGGGTGTGACTTCCCCTCAAAAGTAGTAGGGGAGTGAGGGAAAAATAGACCTAAGGAGTCTTTCAGGACTGTAATAGGGTCAGAGAGATAGTCCAAGTGGTAAGGCACTTGTCTTGCATGAAGCATGAAGTTCAACTCCTGACACCACCTATAATAAATTCTAAAATCGAATTATCTCAAGGCGAGACACTGAATACGAGGAAAGAATAGAACAGGAGATGGACCTTGAAAGGAGACACTAAGCCTTGCTGACAATGTGGAAACCCTGTCCAAGTGAAAAACAGAGTGGGGGAAAGCTCTATTGTTTTTTTTCTATCATTCCCATGCTTTTTTTTTCATGGTCTTCACCAGGAATGCAGTTTAACTTCTCCTGATCCGGCCTGCCTCCTCTCTGTACTTGAAAGCTCCCAGTTTCTGGAGCTCACTAGTTTAGGGTTTGTGCTTTACAAAAACCTCTTCTTAGCAGCACAAAGCTACTCCTGCCATGGAAGGGGTCACGTGCAACATGAACATCTGTCAGTGATGCAAAAATTGCAAACTGTGTTAAAGCATCGTTTTATCAATCATCTACAAACTCTGTTATTAAGTCAATTACCTAAGAAGCAAGAATGAACCACATTTGCGTTCGGTCCCAATATCTGCCGGGCACACGTCCTTTGGAAACCCATCACGGGTCATTTCCTGCTGCGCATGCTGACTCCTTCTTTTTGATCCCATGATTTAACTGACCCACAGATCCAAAAGCATTTTAAGAGAAGGGCAGGCAGGGAGATGATTGAGAAGGACTCCTTCTCTCTTTAATTCTTCCCCAACATCTCTTTATCCTTGAGTATAACTAGCCCTGTCCTGATGACCCGCACTCAAATAACACTTATGTGTTATGCTTGGGGCCTGGAAAGATAGTGCAATGGGTAAGGGGTACTCTTGCATGCAACCGAGCCAGGTTCAACCCTTTGGTATCACACACCTGAGCTGGAATATTCTCTGAGCACAGAGTGCTACCTCCTTCAAAGGTTAATGTTCTATGAAATGAAATTTGGCCTGAACTTTGGATATGGTAAAGGTCACACGAGGGAAAGACAGAACCCAAAGATATACCATGTGGGATGCTGGGAACCAAGTATAAGTCGGCCACAGAGAAGGCGAATGCCCTAGCTGCTGTACTATCACTCTGGTCCCAAATTTTATCACATTTTTATAATTCAATTTTAATTTTAGAGTTCTATGGCTTTATTTTGTCTCCTATTTTTTCCTTAGCATGTGTCACTTATGTCCAAGGTTTAATTATTTTAATTGGTTTGATCCATAAAGTCCCTATATTGCAGACTCAATGGATCAGTTGTGATTCCTACTGGTCAAGGTTTGACATTGCAAAATGCTATATTCTGTTTTTCCAAACTACGCTTTTTTAACACCCCATACAGAGGAGCAAAATATTCTGTGACTCTGAACAATGTCATCATATTGTCTTAATTGAAGACAAAAGTAAATAGTTCACTAGAATTTTACATATAAAAAGGCATTGCACAAATTATTCTGAGTTGGTTATTCTATGCTGCATGAATGATTCTATTCTTGATTAACCATGAACTTCTGATTATATTTGAATTGTAATTCCTTGTAGATTTACAAGAGATTTTTGGTTATGGAGGTTAGGGGAAGTACAAGAACTTCTGGCAGATTTATTACCACAAGTCATATATTTACCGCATGACACACATTTCCTTTGAACTATTCCATTAATATTCTATCCTCTTCCCTCTAAAGTTCACCTTCGCTTCTGTATACAGCATATCAAAATATTCTTTCTTGGGGTGAGAGAGATGGCTCAAAGGGAAGAGCATGCAGGAGATCCAAGTTTGATATCCAGCACCACATGGTCCCCTGATCACCCCAGGGAGTAATCCCTGAGCACAGAGCCGGGAGTAGCCACTGAACAGTTCTCTGTGTAGCACCCAAGCCAAACAACAAAAACCTAAAACTCATGACCCTATAAAACCTCTTTTAGGGAAAAGAAGTCTAAACTTAAGGAGGACTAAGAAGCTAAACAAACTTTTCCTTTAGTCTTATTCTTTGTTTAAACTCAAAATGATATTCAAGTTGTTTCCACAGATGTTGATCCTGAAGCATGGGTTTGAATGAAAACAAGTTTTTGGGAAGGTGGTACCAAGAGCCAAGTAAAGGATTGGAGAAGAAGGTCAGGAGAAGGCATAGAGGAGAGATAAATTAGACCCCTAAGTTTAACCTTCTGGCTCTCATCTCACCAAGGAGTGAGTCATAGATGGTGCCAGTGTGCAGGAACGATCAGGCCAGTGATGTGCCAGCCACTCTTCCCTTCCTAAGATGTTCCCACCATGATAATAAAACAAATGGCGTAGAACAGGAAGGGACTTTAGGTGCTGCAATTATAAAACTAGGCAAAGGGGAGGGAACATGTTCGCACGTCCTAACAGGCAGAACACATTGCAATGACCTTTTAAAATGTACCACTGATTTAAAAGGGGGGTGGTTGTTTTATTTAAATATTTCATTTTTGTTTTTTGGGTCACACCTGGCAATGCTCAGGGCTTACTTCTGCCTCTGTACTAAGGGATCACTTCTGCACTCACTTCTGAACTGCAAATTGAACTGAGGTTGGCTGCATTCAAAACAAGAACCTTAAGCCCTTGTACTACCTCTCCGGCCCATGGACGAGGAAAGAGTCTGGGGGCTGCTCCAGTTCTTTGCATAGATATCACTCCTTGGCTGTGCCTGGAGGATCATGCAAAGCTGGGGAGAGAACCCAAGCTTCCTGCATGCACAAGAGGCATCCAACCTGACTCTAAAACTCTTTAAAAACTCAGTGGTTTGGGGGAGTATGGTGCCACCAGCAAGTCAATCTAAACCTGTGAGGAGAGTGCATCAGCATCCTGATGGTGCCTTCAGACTTCTAGATACCCCAAAATTGCTGTTGTGCCTTTGGCCAGACCCCAACAACTTGGGGCAAAGTTTACCAAGAAAGTAAACAGTCAAAAGTTAGGTATGTAGGAGACACCCACACACCACCTCCGGCTCAGCTATATAATTGGAGGTAAGGCCTCTCTGGTTCCTGATCAAACTGCTTCACGGCCATGAAACCAAGAGACTCAGAAACAAATCTCGAAACCCAGCAGCTTTTGGCAGAAATGCATCCAGTGCCCGCAGCAGATTACTGGTGCCAGGCCACCCCAGGGGGTTTAAAAGGGTGCTGTCCCTCCACCTGCTCCCCCTTAGTGGCTTGGTGACCAGCATCCTCCAGAGGCCATTTGACAGTCAAGTTTCAGCCCGCGGTGATGAGACACGCAAGGCCTCATGGGATGGGGGTGGAGCGGGCCCTTTCCTCCCTGCCCCAACAAGACCCTGAGTCACTGCCCATGAACAGTCTCTCTGGTTCCTAATCAAGCTGCTTAATGGCCATGATCCCAGAGACTCAGAAACAAATCTCAGAACCCAGCAGCTTTTGGCAGAAATGCTTCCGGTCCCCACAGTAGGTTACTGGTGCTGGGACATCCCAGTGGGGAATAGGTTTCATGCCTTGGCCTGTTCTCTCTGGTGGCTCGGTGGTCACCATCCTCTAAAGGCCACTGGACAGTCAGGTTTGGGCCTGCAGTGATGAGACACACGGGGTCTCATGAGATGGGGGTGGAACCAGCCCTTTCCTTACCTCCCGAACGAGATCCCTGGTTGCCGCCCATGAACGGCCTCTTTGTCTCCTGATCAAGCCACTAACGGCCATGATCCCAGAGACTCAGGAACAAATCTCGACCCAGCAGATTTTAGCAGAAATTCCTCCAGATTTAACTGTTAAAATTTCAGAATTCCAAAATCCCACGGCCACTACTGTGGCCACATGACATCATATGTTATTCATAAGCAGCAATAGAAAACAAATTGTCCACTGTTGCCTTTTAGGCAGATCTGAATGTTGGGGTAAAATCCTAAATAATAATGGTGGGTCTGGTGTCAAAATATTGAATGTAATAAAAGTATAGAGAGAGTAATGTGGAAATCATATGCCTCACAGGTAAGGAATGGGGGATATACTGGGGTTTTTGGTAGTGGAAAATGGGCAATGGTGAAGGGATAGGTGTTTCATCATTGTATGACCAAGACTTAAACCTGAAAGCTTTGTAACTGCTCTCACGGTGATTCAATAAATAAATTTATGAAAAAGGGAAAGAAAGTAAGGTGGAGTTCATGTCCAATTCTATCAGCCTAATCAAT